AAAAAATGAGCAAAAAAAGAATCAAACGGCGAAAAAAGAAGAAAAGATGGGAGCAAAGGAGGCGGGGAGTGGTGGTGGCTAGGGTTCTACTTTACTCCTTTAAAAATTAATTTTTTTCATGAAAACACTCTTTTATAATAAATTTTTATAAAAGGGCCAATGTTAACTCTAGTTTAAATAAATAACTAATTAAAATTATTTATGTATAAATAATATTAAAATAAAAATTAATTTTTATATTTTTAAAGTAAATTAATTATAAAAAATATATTTATTACATTTTTAATTTATGCTCTTAAAATATTAATTAAACAAATCTTTTACTAAATTAATAACAAAAAAATATCTTACAATTTAAATTGTAAAACATTAATAATTAAATTAAAAGAGATTCTTTGATATTAGAAGAGTCCTCCATCTGAGAATGGGTGTTTTGCGGTAAAAAACTATACTCATTTCAGAATTAGTCCTACTACTCCTAATTAAACTTCCACATGGGACTGCTTCTTGTTTTTATCTTCTATTTATATGTGCTGCATTGTTTAGATGTCTCCAATGCGACAAAAAGTGTTTCAAGAATGATACGGGAAAAAATTATATTTGAAGAACTAGCAATGTGTGTTTGACTATGTATTGGGTTCTTTTTGGATTGGAAATGCCAAAGGAATTAATTGGAGAAATGGAGAGTTTAGACCCATGGTTTAGTTGTTAATTTTTTTTTTTTTTTTGTACATCTTATTATGAATCATATTAGAGAAAGTAGCTCTTTTTTATTCTCAAATTTCTCCTCATCCGATTCAAGGTTTAAATTTAAAATCTTTAATTTAAAATATAAAATTTTTAATTGTTAAACCACTCCATTAGAATTTATGGTTTAGATGTTAATGATATTGTATTATTGTTTATTTATTTTAGTAACAGAATCAGACTGTGGGTTTTTTATCTGAATTGGGAAAAATAATTGTTAGCCCAATTCAAAATGGCGGCGTTTCTGTGATTGTTAGTCCAAAACAATGCTGGCAATGATCCAGTAGCACTGCCATGGTGGTCGCAGGCTGCAGTCTCCAACCTCTAGCCCATTGTTGGAATAAAAGACCAAGTCCAACAACGGCTTTTGGGTTGGGTTGCACGTTTGGGTTACTTTATCTTTAGGAAATTTAGGGTCTTCTAGCTCTGGGTAATAACTCTGTTTTTTCTTTTTTTTCTTCTTCTTTTTAATAAGCTAGATTGTATAATAAAAATATAGTTGAAATATTAAAATTATTAAAATATTATTAATAAAATAATATAAGAAAGAGTTAATATATCTGTTTTTTAAAGTCAAATTGCATAAAAAATGTTTTTTTTTTTGGTCTTTTTATGTTTACAATTTTCTGGCTTTCTAATTTTTTATGTTTCCCATTAGTAGCCCCTTGTTTTAGTTTTCTTGAATTTAGCACGGCATTACCGTGGCATGAACATTTCCCGATGCATATCGATCTTGATGACATGGGAAATGGTCGAACTTGTCATATGAAATTAGGAATAATCTCTAGGTGAGCCAATTTAGCTTGCGAATTATTATTATATTTTAACTTTGGCGAAATATATTTAATGACCGACCGAGAAATCCTCGTTATAGTGGTCATTTATACTATTGTAAAGGCATTTAATCTTATTATTAATTATTTTAGTGGGAAAGAATTTGATTACCTTTAAAGTTTAAATAAAATTTTAAATTTGAGACTTATAAATAAAAAAATAAGTATTAGAAAAGTTTACTTTCATATGAGATTTTATGCAACTTAATTTCAGATTAATTAGAGTATAATATAACTTTTATATACTAAAAAATTAATAAAAAAACAAAAAAAAAACATTTTATCTTAGTTTAAGATGTAAGATTGGAGTTTTATCCTCATATTCAAAAAAAAAAAAAAATTTTTGATGACCGATTAATATTGATGTATTGTTATTTTATATCTTAAGATATAGATTAAGATACCATAAAAAAAAAAAAGATATAGATTGAGATGAGCAATAATGCCATTCATTAACAATTTTCTTGACATAATCACTATTCTATATAGATTATAAAAAAATGTTTTTTAGACTAAATTGTAATTCAAGCAATAAATCTATTAAAAAATTTCTTTTTATAATCATATTAAAATTTAAGAATTGACTAAATTATCTTTGTTTTTCATAGATAAAGTCTAATAATTTATTTTTATCTAATATAAAGACCAAAAAACTTTAAAATTTTTAATTTAAAAACTTATATTATGTTATCTTAAAATTAAAAAAATGATAAGTAATCTAAAATCACTATATATATTGCAGCCAACGGCACTAATGTAGATTTTGTGTTCAGTTCGGTCCAAAACTCCAAGTCGTCGCTGTTTGTTTCTGAGACACCGAATAAAAATTTCTCATGCCTTCCTACCCCACATAGGAATCTTTCCAACGCATCCCTCTACCTTTTGCTTGACTCCTCTCTCTCCGCTCACCACCGAATACCGACCGCCGGATTTCTGACTATAGGCCGAACCAATGGCGGACCACCACCACCACCACCTGCAGGCGTTCTTGGACGAGACCTCACTCTACAACCGCATTGTCTTGGGACACCTCTTGCCGTCGGCATGGTGGGACCCTCTCCCTCACGTCATCCAGACCTGGCTTCGCAACTGCATTGCCGGAACCTTGCTCTACTTCATCTCCGGCTTCCTCTGGTGCTTCTACATTTACTACTGGAAGTATAACGTTTATGTGCCCAAAGGTATGTGATGTGATAGCTGTGCTCGTGTTCGTTTGATTGGATTTCTTTTCAAAGTTTATGATTTTGGACTTTGGGTGTTGATATGAAGTAGGATTTGGTGTTGGAAATTGATTCTGAATCTGGTTAATTACTTAATTTGATGGTTCACTGATCAGGATACTGTAAGTTTGAATTTTCTTTTTTTGTTGTTTCTATTATCATGTTTCGTTAATCTTTATATATTTTGATTTTAATGACCAATCTGTTGAGATGGTTTGGCGTCTGGGTTTTTTGGTCAATCTTCATTGGTGAAAATGGAAATTAAAAGAAAATTTTTTGACATATTTTTCTTTATAACTTTTGTTGTGTCTGCTGCAAGATCTCTGTTTGATTGCCATGGAGATTAGATTGGTATTGAATTGGAGTTTTTTTTCCTGATTTTTTTAGGCATAAGTGTACCAAACAGATCTTATCCTCTTGAGCGTTGTCAATTTCATTTTTCTGGAAGAAGTTTCCAATGTAGAATAAGAAGATGCCTTTGCTTGATTTGATTTGTTGAATGCTCTCTATGCAGATGCCGTTCCTACAAGAAAAGCCATGCTCTTACAAATATATGTCGCTATGAAGGCCATGCCGTGGTACTGCACTCTTCCAACTCTTTCTGAGTACATGATCGAAAATGGCTGGACAAGGTGCTACTCTAGTATAAGTGATGTTGGTTTGCCTCTCTTTTTAGTGCAATTAGCTCTTTATCTTGTACTTGTGGAGTTTGGGATTTACTGGATGCACCGAGAATTGCATGACATTAAACCTTTGTACAAGTATCTCCATGCAACCCATCACATCTACAACAAGCAGAATACTCTTTCTCCATTTGCAGGTAAGTTCTTGCTCAATTCACTACAATTTTGATGGTTTTATATTGTTGCTGTCCAAGTCGATATTTTAAATCTTTTCTAAATAGTTGTTGTAAACCTCTATTTAATACGTTCCCTCGAATTATACAGAAAATTTTCATGTCTGAATCATATTTTATTTGAATGTAAAATATTTAAATATGACATGAATTTAACTATGAGCTCCATCATCTCTCAGGAGATTCTTTTCCTTACATACGATTCTTGTTGAAACTAAGGCAGCCTCCTTGCTGCAGCATGGCTTGGTTAAGCGTGAAATGTATTCGTGCATGTTTAGATGATTCAAACTTAAAATGAGTTTCTTGAACGGTTATCCAAACTATTGTGGACTGAAAAAATTTAGTATTATTCCTTCAGTGAAAGAACTGTGACACTCACCAGATATTTTCTGGCATATCTAGCAAATGCCAAGAACTATGACTAGGTTTAGTGTCCTACACTTAGCACCTATTTTTTGATCAATGGATGTCTTAGATTGTCATTCACTGAAGCCCTTTTATGTATTTCAAGTCCTCTTTCTTGTGTTGGTTCTGACTATTCTTTTCATGTTGATTTTGTGAGCACCCAAAAGTTGACAAACTTTAAATTCATGCTCCATTTGCATTTGCTAGAAATTATCAATCTAAGACATTTTAGTCCGGATTTCAAACTGTCATTCTTGGAATTTGGAAGGGGTCCTATCTTTGTAGCACCGTATGGTCACTGTTAGTATTAAAAAGTATAAGTTCAAACCCTCCACTGGTGGCTAATTTCTGTACTTTTCTTATTTGGAAACCTGGTCCTCTATGGAGCTTCTCTGTTTGTGTGTGTGTGTGTTTAGAAGCTACTGTGGTGACAAATGCACTGCTAGCATGTTAATTTCTTTCATTTGAACTGATTTATTTGTTCCATAGTAATTGCAGTGCAAAGATAACCAACCATTTTCATTTTGATAATTTGCTCAAGATGTCTGCTTTTAATATGTTTTTTTATTTTTTTATCCTTTCCTTTTCTTATAAAGACTTGTAACTATGGTACGAAAACAATTTCTTTTGGTTTCAGGTTTGGCATTTCACCCCTTGGATGGAATACTTCAGGCAGTGCCACATGTCATAGCATTATTCATTGTGCCAACCCACTTCAGATCTCACATTGCACTCTTATTCTTTGAGGCCATATGGACAGCTAACATTCATGATTGCATCCATGCCAAGATATGGCCAGTCATGGGTGCTGGCTACCATACAATTCACCACACTACATACCGTCATAACTATGGCCACTATACCATCTGGATGGACTGGATGCTTGGAACACTTCGTGACCCTGCTAATGATTCATATGAAAAAGAAATGTGATTGCCAGGCTTGCCTGGTCTTAGAATTTTCTTTGTTCTTGTTGGTTAGGTTTGCATGTAGATCACCCCATGGTTTGGTCATCTTTGCACGTAAATTACACCTGTAGCTTGGTTACTCAAGTACCTTTCAACTAGAATATTTGTACCTGATAGGGAAGCTGTCTCAGTTTTAAATTGGGTCCTATTTCCCTTGTATTTATATCCTAAGCCCCATATAATCTCTTCTTTTCTTTTTTTTTGAAACAGATAATTATTTTTACAAATTCTTTACTATAGAGGGGAAGGGAGGCATTTCTGAGAGAGAGGAAAACTGGAAATTGAGCTAAGCTAATTCAAGAAAAAGTTTTGTAAAGAAAGTTACCGATTTTGGCAGGCGTATACTTTGTAATATGTTATGAAATTAGACTAACTATAGTTGGAATTATTCTGGAGGGCGAATAATTTGACAAGAGCAAGGTTAAGAATCAGTTTGATCTTTTACTTCAACAATAATGTCTTTCTTTTCTTTTCTTTTTTTTTCCCCTTCTTTTGAAGTGTTACTCCCACCTCCCTCCCTCTCCGTATGATTTTGTCTGGCCGAAGAATATGTAGCATGTCCAGGGATATGTTCAACGGTTGATGGCACCAAAGTCTCACTATGATAAAGGAAGAAAAATTGTAAAAACTTAGTAAGAAAGAAGTCATAGTTGTTCACAGTACTTTTAACTAGACCGAGTATAAAGTTGCAAAATATAAGGTTTGGCTGTGACAATCTCACTGAAGTGTAGAAGAGTTTGAATAAAACATTTACAAGAGAAACTTAAGCTTAAAGTCTAGGGATATGATACAACAACTTCACTATTTATAAGTAAACGCTGTAAATATCAATTCTAATACAGAATATGGGTTAACCTGTAATATGGATTAGAGATGACGATGATGTGGTGGAGCTGTTCTGGGGTGGTCTTACTGCAGTTGCAGAATTCATCGGATTTGGTGGATTTGGCAAATCCTCAAGGCTTCCTTGCAACATCTCTAGCACCCTGCTCATTGATGGTCTGTCTGATGGAAATGTTTGGATGCACCAAAGGCTCACTATCATCATCTTCCTTGTCATTTCTTCTTCCTCTTCAGCTATGACTCTGTCAAGATTTAATTTTTCTGATTTTTCAAGCTGCTTATACAGCCATGTTGGAAAATAGATTTCACTGGAGTGAGACATTTCCAGATTAACATTCTTTCTTCTTCCCCCCACCATATCTAGGATCATCATGCCATAGCTATACACATCAGACTTGTAAGATACCCCTCCAAAGCTTCGACAAAATACCTCTGGAGCAATATATCCACAAGTTCCTCTGGCCCGTGTCATTGAAACAATAGTATCTCTCGTTTCACATAATTTAGCGAGACCAAAATCAGAGATCTTAGGACAGAAGTTGGTGTCTAAGAGGATGTTTTGAGGTTTTATGTCAAAGTGTAAGATCCTTGTGGTACAACCTCGATGCAAGTATTCTAGTCCTCGAGCAATGCCTAGTGCTATCTCATGCAAGGTCTTGATTGCAAGCTGATGATCCTCTGGAGATCTTTGATTATTAATGAACTTATCCAGTGATCCATTGGACATGAACTCATAAATCAAAGCTCTTTTTGACCTCTCATAACAAAAGCCCAATAGGGTGACTATATTGACATGAGAGGTTCTGCTAATACTAGCAACTTCATTGATGAATTCCTGCCCGTTCCCTTTGCTATTGCTAAGTACTTTCACTGCCACAATTCTGCCATCAAGTAATTTTCCTTTGTATACACTGCCATATCCTCCTTGGCCCAATTTATCTGCAAATGAATTGGTTATTTTCTGGATCTCTGAGTATGAAAATTTCTTGGGAGCAAGAGAACCGTGTTGAATTATGAATGCCTCAACCCTTGTGTGATTTTCCACTTTTGATGATGATACTTTAGGCCTGAAGATAAGCTGCTCCAAACATACTGCTATAATAATGGCTGCAATTATTACTGGAATTCCTGTTTTTTAGAGATAAATCAACTACTTTAGGCAGGTAGTCTTTGAAAATGGATATTAAGAAAGCAGTAAAAAAATGTTTCTCAATTTTTGAGATCATTATTTGTACCTATGATTAGTCTAAGCTTCCGTAGTACACCTGCTAAATTTAAAGAAAATGAAGAGAAAACAAATTCTTTCAGAAACAATTAAATTTTAGTACATAAGAACTAAATTAATAACAGAGAACATGATTGTAGGCATTGAAATTTTAAAAGCTAGGTAGTTGGATTAGGTCCAACTTTTCTCGGTTAAAATTAAGTTATCAATCTTGTGTCAAGGTATTTTCTGTTACTCTCTTCTTCTGAGGGGAAGCTTTGGTCCTATTGAATGAATCTTTGATCAGTCTTTGCTACATAATCAGATGGCTTTAACTGTGATCAACAAATCTAATATGCAGGATATAAAAGAAATTCAGCACAAAAACCAGCAAGACTCTTGAGTTTAATGCCCTATAACATAATTTACTTGCCTGGTTCATTGGCAGCTACTGCTGGGGGAGCTGCAGCAGGCAGGGGATGACATTCTTTCAATGAACTACTCGGTTCCTGACAATAGCAAACCGCCGTTTCATTCAAAGGGTTAATGCCACACTCTCCCTTGGAGGCCATGCACTTCTGACAGTACCCTTCATCATCCACCTTCCACTCTACCACAAATCCATCTATTAGGGCTTGTTCGAACCCTTTTCTTTGTTCAGGAACCAGGACAGTGGCACTAGCAAAACAACCCATAGGACCAGTATCTCCTGGTACGATGAAACCCTTGGTAGAATTGACTCCATAGATTGATTTTAAACTGCAGTTGAAGTCTGCAGTAGCATTTATTGGAATGTGACTCGTGCAGGCATAGAGTAATGTAAAATTTACATAATCTGGAGCACTGACAAAGAGAGTGTCATCAAGGGTGGTGTCCTGGATATTCTGGGTACAAATTCCACTCTCATAGTCATCCCTTGCAATCTTCAGTCTTTTGGTTTCCTGATCAATTTTAATAACCCGATATCTAACACCGATAATTTCTAAAATAGCAGCAGTATCATTGTAATCACAATGGAGTTTTAGTCCTGGATGGCCACATTCACGCGGTCTTTGATCTCCTCCCCAGAATGGAAAGCCTGCAACAACATCACCACACCTGAAATGATTGCTGCAATTTCTGTACAATTCAGGGGTGCTTGATGACAAGGGAGTCTCAGAGAAAACCAAGAGTATAACAAAATGGATGAAGTTGTTCATATTCTTGAACCGATGGGGAAGAGGAACTAGAGGGATTGATCGGTGAATTTCAAGAAGTGTTTGGCCTGGACTCCGGAGGGAAAATAAGAATTGATGTGGCATGTAGAGCAGTGCTAGGAAACTCGCCTCACATGCGTTCATATCCAATCTAATTTCATTGTTTTGATTTAAATCTATTTAATTTAACTTAAAATTAAATTAAATTGATATAAAATTAAATTGATTTAAATTATAAAATTATAAAATTAATGTAATTGATTTGATTTGTAATTTTACATTTAAATCACCCAAACTAGTTAATCACTTCATTTTTTTTTTTAAGTTGGGTCGAATTTATAAAGTGAAGTTTTTCAAATGTTTATTTTTTTATTTATAAAATTTAAATTTGATATCTTATTTAAGAAAAATAAGTTCTTTCCATTTAAATTAATAAATTGTTGGTAGTTAATAACTTCATTAATCTAATTAAAAAAAATAAAACATCCATCATCCATGTTTCCTCAAAAATCAAATTTTTGAAAAAATAATTCACCCGCATTACTTAATTTTAAATTTTTAATTCACATGTAATTCTATCCTTCAAAACTAATGTAAGAATTTACTCGTAGAACTCTAAATTTCTAATTTTTTTATAAAATGATATTTTAATTCTCTTAACTAAGTATTAAAGAAGCATTATTCAAGAAGTAAAGTTTCATAATAAATGTTTGATCGAGGAATTTTAAATTTCGATTATAGATACTTTTAATCAATCTTGTTAATATTCATTTTAAATTTTGTTTACTTTTAAGAGAGAGTTTAGAAGAGAAGATTAAGTTATTGATGCATTAAAAAATAATTTTAACCTTTAAAAGTTATTTATATTATATTTAAAACTTGAAATTATTTTTTATTATCATTGATGCATCTGACAACATAGTTAAGAAAAATTTTTAAATTTTTTTAATTTTTATAATTGTAAAGGAGTATAAGAACATTTATAATGTATTTTTTTAATTATGTTATTATTAATTTAGATATTAATATATTTTATAGTTATAATTTTTACTTAATGTTAAAAATTTTTATATTATCTTATATATTTAATAATTTTAAAAACTAATTAATCTAATCAAATC